AGTTTAGACAGGTGTCCCAATTCCAGTAAGACATGCTCACAAGTGATCAGGACATCACTGCATTAATGCAAAGGCAGCTACTCCAGACAAAGGCAGCCTCAGAAGGGCCCAGGGACACAACCTGAGGGGGACACTACTGGGCTGAAGGGGGTCTTTCTTCCTCTTTTCTTGGTTTTCCATGGATTGGGAGGATTTCTTCTTATCGGAAGAACTTGGTCTAGGAGATTTTAGGGAGGACTTCTCACACACAGGAGCCCCTCTGCCGAGAAAGACAGATGCTGACAGGCAGAGCAGGGGCCCTGTCTGCGGCCTTGCAGGAGCAGCCACAGCTCCGAACAGCCTGAGATCTTGGGGCTGAAGGGAGCATTTGGTGGTGACTTGAGAGCTACAGATTATGGAGGGCAATTTATGCTCTCTAAGGAGGTTCTAAGGGGACCCAACGGAACTTCCCTTCTAGGACACCTCTGCTTGGCCTTTGCTGGTGAAATAGGTTAGGTTTTCAAACTGGGTGAGGTAGGCTGGGGCACAGGGCTCTGAACCACTGGCTCCACATCAGTAAGAGCAACTGTTCTCTGATTTGTCCATACACTGGGTTCATTTCTACCATATTGTGGGAACAGTGGATCTGAGTATACCTTGGTTAGAGGAGCTGACCAGAAGGCAACTTTTTCTTGGAATCTTCTTCCTGTCCTATCAGGACTCCCTGAGACTATGAAGTTCAGGTCTTTTTTGGGAAGAAGGGAAATTCTATTCTCTTCATCATGATTTTGACAACTGGGGAGCCCAACCCTGCCTTTCGCCCAGCTGTATTTGGAATACTGGATGGTCATGTTGAGGACAGATAGGGTAGCCTTGCCTTCTGCCCTTCACACTCACCTGAGGGACACGGACAAGATCCTTTCCATCTCGATTCTCCGCTTCAGGACTTCTTTCACAAGGCCTTTGTCTGGGCCCTGTTTGATCTTTTCTCGTCCAATTAAGTATATGCACTTTGGCGTCAGAAGCAAATCTCGCTTTACACCCTGTAAGAAGAGGAGCTTTAAGAAGACTGATAGATATGGTCAAAGTGACAACTGTCCACACAATGTGACATCTATTACCAGGATGGGGGGAAGCTGCCTTGGGCAGCAAATCTTCACTACCATTAGGATGGCAATTCCATTTATCATCTAACCAGGCTCCTTGAGGCTGGAAGAGGACATTGTTAATGATTATTAGGCTGACATACATGAAATTGCTGACATTTAATTCTCTTTGACTTACAAAATGGCAAACTCATATGCATCCACATAAGGTATCAGGACAACAGGTGCAAAGGATAGTCCCAGACAAACTAACACATACAGTGACCTTACCAATGATCTGTGACAGCATATTTCTCAAACAGGGACCCCTCAAATGTCTGCATATATTTTCTTGGGAGTCCATGAAATTCTCTCTTTTTAAAATTGATATATTTTCATTTCAATGATATCCTTAATAATCTAATATAAAATACTTTGAAATATGTGGGTGAATGACCACCTTACAAATGAGCACTGCTGGGAGATCTAAGCACCCACATTTGCATTCAAAACCGCCACCATAGCACCATGGTACAAGGAATGATTCGGTTTTAGCAAAACATCATCATCCTTCTTTTTAAGTACTGTTATTTATTTTATTATTTTTTCCCTGTCCCTCCCCCCCCCTCCACAAAAGCTCTTAATGGGTCCATAAGCTTCTGAGGCTTCAAATTTTCCTATTAGGGCCAAAATTTTATCAGACAAAATAAAGTGTCTAAGGAAGAAGATAAAAAAAACAAACCAAACAAAAACAAAAACAGCTGTTCCCCCGGTGGCTATGTGAAAGCTTTACTTAGTCATTTCACTCAGGGAAAATGGGTGAGAATACTTTGTAACACTACTTCTTGATATTCTGAATCCTTTCACCCAACAATGCCACTCCTATCAATTTATTACAACAACAGCATAAGACAAATATACAAAGATACATATGAAAAGATGCTCATTGTAGTTATGAGAGTAAAAAAGAAAAAGAAAACCCACTAAGAATTGATTAATGAGAAATCGGTAAAAAAAATAATAAAGCATCTGTTGAATGGGATACTGTGCAGCTATGCAAAATAATTTATATTGATACATCTATTAACATGGAAAGTTATCCCTGGCACATTATTCTACAAACACAACTGGAACATAAAACAGCATATAATAATGATGGTCGAGAGTTATCCCTGGCACATTATTCTACAAACACAACTGGAACATAAAACAGCATATAATAATGACGGTCGAGGGCTGCGGGAACAATATTGGCGGCCCACACGGCAAAGGCCGGGAGAGCCAGCGGAGGAACT